TGTCTACTCTGTTCCTGAGTGTAACCTCCATTTAGCTATGTATGGCATGTGTTATTTTCCTCTCCTGGGCTGTGAGTATATGAGATTAATAGACTCCTGTCCATCTTATCTGTGCAGTGTCAGGTGCCCTGTATTTGGCCATTTCCATAATACTAGAGTGGGAATCCCTTCCTCACCATTGAGTTGAATGGGAGGTGTTTAAAACAATGACTTTTTCCCCCTACCTAGCAGCGATGGTGGAGAGAGAAAATATTCAACATCACTTAAATAATTGGAATGAATGATTTGTGAATTGCCCCCCAACCCCAAGATTCATTTATTTCTCTTTCTAATGCTAGTATTAGCATTCAATCCATACTTTCCAAATACAGGCATACCTCAGAAAGATGCAAGTTTGCTTCCAGATCACTGCAATAAAATGAATAAAATGAAATTTACAGTATGTATATGCAACCGTTTCCCATTGCATATACTGTAAATTTTTTGGTTTCCCAGTTTATACTGTAGTCTATTACATGTACAATAGTATTATGTCTAAAAATCTACATATTATAATTTAAAAATACATTTCTGATAAAGCAAAATGCTTATCATGATCTGAGTCTTCAGCAATTTGGAATCCTTGCCTTATTATCAATGGCTGCTGACTGATCTGGTCAGGTGGTGATTGCTGAATGTTGAGGTGGGGCATTTTCTTAAAATAAGACTACAGTGAAGTTTGATGCATTGATAGACTCTTTTTTTCACAAACAATTTCTTCATAGCATACTATCTTGTTGGTAGCATTTAACCCACAATAGAACTTCTTTAAAATTTGGAGTCAATCTTCCAAACCCTGCTGCTGCTTTATCAACTAAGTTTATGTAATATTTTAAATCCTGTATTATCGTTTTAATAGTCTTCATAATATCTTCACCAGAAGTAGATTCCTTCTCAACAAACCACTTTGCTCATCTAAAAGAAAGCAGCTCATCTATTATATTAAAGTGTTATAACGAGATTGCAGCAATTCAGTCACATCTTTAGGCTCCTTCCTCAGTAATACTTCTTATTCTAGTTCTCTTGCTATTTCTATGACATCTATGGTTACTTCCTCCTCTGAAGTATTAAACCCCTCAAAGTCATCCATGAGGGTTGGAATAAACTTCCAGCCTCCTGTTAATGATGATATTTTGATCTCTTCCTATGAATCATAGGTGTTCTCAATGACATCTAAAATGGTGAATCCTTTTTAGAAGGTTTTCAATTTACCTTGCCCAGGTCCACCAGAGGAATCACTGTGTATGGCAGCTCACAAAATGTATTCCTTAATAAAACTTGAAATTCAGAATTACTCTTTGACCCATGGACTGCAGAATGGTTGTTGTGTTAGCAGGTATGACAACAGCATTAATCTCCTTATATATCCCATCAGAGCTCTTAGGTGACCAGGCAAATTGTCAGTGAACACTAATATTTGATAGGGAATTTTTTTTTCTAAGCAGTTTGTCTCAACAGTGAGCTTAAAATATTCAGTGAACCATATTGTAAGCAGATGTGCTATCATCCAGGCTTTGTTTTCTTTTTAGAGCACAGGCAGAGAAGATTTAGCATAATTCTTAAGGGCCCTATGATTCTTGGAATGGTAAATGAACATTAGCTTCATCTCACACTGACCAGGTGCATTTGCCCCTACCTAGAGAGTCAGCCTGTCCTTTGAAACTTTGAAGCCAGGCATTGACTTTTCCTTTCTAGCTGTTAACATCCAAAGGCCATCAGTTGTTCCTCCTCCACTGAAAATCTGTTGCTTAGTCTAGCTACCTTCATTAATTATGTTAACAAGATCTGGATAATATGCTGCTACACCTGCACTTTTGTGTTATGGAGATGGCTTTTTCCCATAAACTTCATGAACCAACCTCTGGTAGCTTCAAACTTTTCTTTTTCAGTTTCCTCACCTCTCTCAGCCTTCATGGAATTGAATTGAGATAGGGCCTTGCTCTAGATTAGGTTTTGGCTTAAGGGAATGTTGTGGCTAGACCAGCAGTTGCCAACATTTTAGACCTCACAGACCACCAGTGGTTACGGACCACTGGTTGGTGACCACTGATCTAGACCACTAAAACTTTCTCCACATCATCTATCAGGCTGTTTTAATTTCTTATAATTTGTGTGTTCCACTAGAGTAGCATTTTTAATTTTTTCAAGAACTTTTCCTTTGAATTTACAACTTGGCCAACTGATACAAGAGGCCTACCTTAAGGACTATTTCAGTATTGACATTCCTTCCTCAGTAAGCTTAATCATATATAGCTTCTCACTTAAAGTGAGAGATGAATAATTCCTCCTTTCCCTTGAACACTCGGGGAACATTGTAGGGTAATTAATTGGCTGCATAATTTCAATATTGTTGTGTGTCACAGAATAAGAATATCCAACGAAAGAATATGAGATGGGAGAATGGCTTGTCAATGGAGCAGTCAGAACACACATATTTATTAATAAAGTTCACCATCTCACATCGGTATGATTTGTGGCATCCTAAAACAATTACTAGTACAATAGTAACATCAGACATCACTGACCACAGATTACTGTAAAAAATATAATAATAACGAAAAAGTTAAAATATTACAAAAATTATCAAAATGTAGTGACACAGAGACACCAAATTGGCACATGCTATTGGAAAAATGGCACTGCTATGTTTGCTGAATGCCAGGTTGCCAGAAAACTTTAATTAAAAAAACAAACAAAAAAACAGTATCTGCAAAGCACAGTAAACAAGGTGCAATAAAACGAGTATGCTTATACAGACGTAACAATTTGTTTATCTGTCCACTGTTAGTTATCACCTATCAGATCGTTATGCATACTATTTATTCATTTCTTCCTTTCAGCTCATAGCTCAGAATGTCATGCCTTTTTAATCATTTTATTAATCTTTATATACCTCCAAATAATTGGTGAATGAATCTGAAAATGGCTGGCTGCATTAAAATTTAAAACATGCACACACACACACACACACACACACACACAATGATCTGTGAATTTCTTCTTAAATGACATAATACAAGGTGTCTCCCCCAATATGTATACACACACTTTGAATAGTTATAAAGGCAGTGTTTATTAAAATACATTTTATTTTCCGAATTGAGCTATCAGCTGTTAAAGTGTATATACATTTTTTGGGATACCCTGTATATGCATAAAACATAATTATGATTCCCCAACACTACCAAAATCCACACTCACCCCATTCACCTATAGATGGAGAGAATGAGGTCTTGGGAATGTTGCCCAATTTTTCTCTTCTCATTCCCTTTCCAAATGCATGCCAGTTGCCCTAAGGCTTCAGAAGATCCCTGAAGGCAGCATTTTATTTTCTGTAGGAAGGAGAACTAGTATAGCTGCAAGGTGATCCCAACTTCTTGCCAATCTGTTGATTTTTGAATGCTCATTCACTCCAGATTCCCTGTTGAGAGCTAAAACATTGCTTCTGCAAGAAGGCATTTATTTTAGGTACACTTTCGTTCTTCAGATGTGCAGCTTCATAGCATTGATATTGTAAATTATAGGGAAAATGTGGAGAAAGTTAACATGGTTGGTTTAAAGATGTTTGACATCTTTTTCTGGTGATTTCTGTTTTATTATGTATTGTATTTAAATTGGCTTACTCATTAAATTTATGAGATTGTAATTGGCATACATCACTGTATAAGTTTAAGTTGTACAGTATAATTATTTGACTTATATATACTGTACCTTGGAATGAGAGTTCTTAGGAGTTACTTTCTTTTTAATCCTCACCTGAAGACGCATTTATTGACTTTTTCAAAGAGAGAGAAATAAAAACACTGATGTGAGAGAGAAAAATCCATTGTCTGCCTTCCATTTGTGCCTGACCCCACAACCCAGGTATATGCCTTGACCAGTAATTGAACCTGTGACGTTTAGGTGCATGGGATGACGCTCCAACCAACTGAGCCACATCGGCCAGGGCAGGAGTTACTTTCTTAACAGCTTTCATATATGCCATACATCAGTGTAAACTGCCAGTAGTTATCAGTTGTACAAACATCCCCAGTACTTACTTAACTGAAATTTATACCTTTTGACCAGCTTCATCCAAATTTTCTATCCCATCCCTCGCCTCTAATAACCATGAATCTGATCTCTTTTTCTATGAATTTGGGTTCCTCTCTCTTTTTTTAGATTCCACATTTAAATATGATCATAAATAATTTGTCTTTCTTAACTATTTTATTTAGCATTATTTCACCCATGTTGTTGCAAATGTCATGATTTTCTTATTTTTTTATGGCAGAATAATAGTTTGTAACTTTTTATCCATTCATTCACTGATGGGCACTTAAGTTGTTTCCATGTCATGGCTATTATAAATAATGCTGTTATAAACATGTGGGGGGATGCAGATAACTGTTCACAATGGTGTTTTCATTTCCTTTGGTTATATTCTTATAAGTGGAATTGCTGAATCACATGGTAGGTCTAATTTTATTTTTTTTAGGAACCTCTATACCATTGGCTATATTAGTTTACATTCACATAACAGTACACAAGGGTTTTCTTTTCTCCACATCCTTACCAGGATTTGTTATCTCTAAATTTATTCTTTTTATAGATTTATATATGCTTCTTTTCTTGACACATAGATTTAATATTTTTTAAAGAAAAAAAATGAAATACCTGGTTTGATGAAGAAGATTTTTTAATTTATCAACTTATTGTATACCTTCACAAAGGTATAAAACAAATTGTGTTCATTAGCAAGAATAAAATTACATTAAATCAACTCTGGTGTTAGAACCATAGATCCAGAGTTTCCATACCTATCTTTCTTTATATGGTATTAAGCGTGCAGTCGGCACTTAGAAAATATGTATTGGTTAAATCATTTAATAATAGGATGTGCTGCTTCCATTGACCATAGACCTTAGAAAAGACTTTTGTGTAACAGCAGTGTTTTCTCCATCTCCTGGGTTTGTCCACAGTAAACAGATCCAAGCTATGCTAGGCCAGTTCAGCCAGGCCGAAGGCTTATTAATGAAAGCTGGAGTGCAGCCAGGGACGTTGGATGGAGTTCTTTTCGATCTTGGATGTTCCTCCATGCAATTTGATGCTCCTGAAAGAGGTTTTTCCCTTCGGAATGATGGCCCTTTGGACATGAGAATGGATGGTGACAGGTGAGTATCAATAAAGCATTTCTCCACACAACAAGAAATCGATTTCTCAAAGGCACTATGAATTTAATTTCCCTTTAAGACTGCAGAATTCCCATTACACACCCACACCCAATACTATCCATATATAATAAATCAGTTTTGTTTGATACTCATTAAAGTTTTTAGTGTTTCTCTAGTTTGGGAATTCTGAAAGAAAAACTATTGCTGTCTACACAAACTAGTGAGGAGGATAACTTTCACACTGATTATCTTTTTTTATGGATAATCGTGCTTTGATATGACCTTTTAACAGAGATTGTGACCCATACTTGTCAGAATCTTTTTGTTCTCAGTCTTAAACCTTCTTTTGCTCAAGTTGGCATTCATAGAATGAAGGATGTGATTATAAAAGAAAATAATAAAAATCTTCCAAAAACCAGTGACTATTATAATAGTGAAGGTCAAATATTTTTTCATGTTTGGAGATTGAGGTTTAGCAGAGGTACTCAAATCTCAAGCAAATTTTGGTTGTTCTTGATGTCTTGCTAAGAGGATGCCTTCTGAAATACAATGAACAAAGCTTCTAGTTAATAATAGTAAACCCTCACATTGTTAACGTAAAAATTTGTCAGCAAATTTTAGTGTGAGAGTCAAGGATTCTTGAGATGCTCCCCTAAGAACATGAAAATTAGATTGCCTTTGTGAATTAAACTCTTAATATGTAATGGATGAGATTAGAGTTGAGAAAATATCTTAAAAAGCCGGTAGGTTTCTATTGAGCTAGCATAGACTGTAACTTAGCCACAGATATTAACAGATCTGAAGAAAATATGTGCCATTCAGAAAGTGGGAGTTGGTTCACATGAATTTATAGAAAAAGAAGAGTCAGAGATGTAACCAAGTGCATTGCTAATCCAAGTGGTGTTATGGGAGAGGGAAAGTGATCAGTCAAATTATGGAGGCTGATATGTCCCTGTGTTGAATGTGGATACAACAGGCTTTCTTAACCTGTTGCCATTGAACATTAGAATCTTACAGCATAGCCCAAATTCAACAACCGCTTTTAGACTATGATAATGTTTCATGTAGCAGAAAGAAATTCACAGTTTAAGGACCTGTGGGTATATCTGGGTTGTCAGGTGTAGTCTTCACTATAAGGTAGGGGTGTCGAACTCAATCAGAGAAGGGGCCAAAATCTAAAATCCAGCCTAAATCGCGGGCCGAATGGTTTACTGAACAGTCATAAACTGTCATTGTGATGGAAACGCAGCGGAGTGCAGTGATGACAGCGCGGTGCGGGCCACATTGCAAGGCCTGGCGGGACGGATTTGGCCCGCGGGCCTTGTGTTTGACACATGTGCTATAAGGAAAAAATAAATTCACACTTAGGTTAATATTTCCTTTGTAAGTCCCTGATCTCTGGAATACCAATGAAATTCCTTAACCTATTAAGTTGGGGTGGGGGACAGATTTTATATCTTGACTTTTTGTTACTCCTCACTTGAGGATATTTTTCCATTGTTTTTTAGCGAGAGTTGAAGAGAGAGGGAAAGACAGAGAGAAATATCGATGTGAAAGTAACATATCAATTGGTTGCTTCCTGCAGGAGCCCAACCAGGGCTGGGGAGAAGCCTGTAACCAAGGCATGTGTCCTTAACCTTTGTTCCGGGGACCCTTAGGCCCATACTTTATCCACTGAGTCAAACTAGCTAGGGCTGTATCTTGACTTCTACACCACATAAATGCCTATTCTGAAGCCTCCTAGAAGCCCTCTGACTTTCAGTTTGTTCCCACTTTGGCCTTGTAGCACTAACATTAGATAAAATAAAATTATGCCTATTTCCACTAAACTATATTTGAGCAAAGTATTTTTTTACTTTCATACTTGAAAGTGGAAAGGTATTATCAAAAATTGCTAAATACATCCATACTAATTTTAGAACTGTCCAATTTGAGGTGAAATCCATACTATGGAGTCTGAGTTTATCATCATTCACAAGGTTCATTCTAATATTTAGTGATTTGGGCAGTTGAATTCACAACTAGGTAAGATCTAGCAGGGATTTTGTTGATTATGCCAAAAATGATGATTGGCAAATCCAAGAAGGGGGAAAATCTAAGGGACCTGGATAGGTATTGAGCTTCCCTATGGGCTATTATACTATGTGTTTTATGATTATATGCACCCTAACTCTCTCAACAATTCTATGAGGTAAGCATTGCTACTTTCATTCACAGGTTAGAAATTAAAGAAATTGAGGTTCCATTATATTAACAAGTTTACTGAATAGTAAAGCCTGGATTCTAAACTAGGTCAATTTGACTCTAAAGACCAAATCTTTATCCTTAAAGCTATTATTAATGGAGCAAAGCCTATTGAGATGGAAACCAGACTACTGTATAGGATGTTCATTGGTCGGGGATGCCATGGCAGCCAGGAAAAAAACAAAAACAAGATTTGAGAGAGGAAGTGAGAGAAAGAGAGAGAGAGAGAGAGAGAGAGAGAGAGAGATAAAGGTTATGGCAAAATAGGGTACAAGCCAAGGACAAAATTTTCTCCTAGAAGACCTAGGCATTCTAATGAGGTGCAATGAAGTATATTTAAGTGTTTCTTAAATCTGATCTGATCCTCAGATCTTAAGATGCCATATCCTTGTTATTTAAATTTCTCACAATTGGTACCAACAATCAATCCAATGTATTAACTACAGGAGTAATAACTATACTATTAGCAAAGCTCTTTCTAATAAGTAAGGTCTCGGTTAACGCATCACTTAGAATTCCTGGATCCATTTTTCTAAGGTAAGTTAAGCTGGCATGGTCTGACAAAGTGAATTCTGCTTCCTGCTACTATGATTTATTGGGCACAGTTTGATATTTCTTTGTCTTCTTCACCTGAAATTACCATCTAGGCTTGTTTAGTACTGTTTGTTGATTACCAAGTGTTATCTCATGATGTCCTTTGTCATGAAGGTAGAAGCCAATATTGTTAAATATTTGAAATAATACACATTATTATCATTAAGAATATTCTAGTTTTTGTGAGGGAAGCTGACCAGCAGTATCTTCTTGTACAGTAGTTCTCCTTATCCCTGGTTTCACTTTCTTCCCTTTCAGTTACCTGAGGTCAACCATAGCCTGAAACTAATTGGAAAACACCAGAAATAAACAATTCATAAGCTTTAAACTGCGCACCATTCTGCAGAGCAAGATGAAATCTTGTGGAATCCAACATTATCTTGCCTGGGATGTGAATCGTTCCTTTGTCCAGCATATCTAAGCTATATATGCTAACCACTCATTAATTGCTTAGTAGCCATTTTGGTTATCAGATCAACTATAGTGGTATCGCAGTGCTTGTGTTCAAGTAACCTTTATTTTACTTAATAATGATTCCAAAGTGCAAGAGTAGTAATGCTGGTAATTCGCATACACCAAAGAAGTGCAATAGAGTGTATGTATGATGTATGTATGTATGTATGTATGTATGTATGTATAGAAAAAAAGCATAGTTATGTATAGGGCTCGGTTCTATCGTGGTTTTCAAGTTTCTGCTGGGGTCTTGGATGTATTCCCTGGGATAAGGTGGGACTCCTGTAATGATTTTCTAAGTCAGTTTGTTCTCCAATAGTGTAAGTAGTCGGTTACTGGACAGTCTTGGGTTTATTTACTTTCCTGAAATTAAGGCTCATTTAAGTAAAAGCAGTACCCTTGTTTCTCCTATACAGAAAAAAAACACTCAAGCAACAATTTAAGTTTTGAACAAACTGAATCCATATATTTCTGCTATTTTAGTTTAGGGGAAATCTGCACGAGCAGTCACTTCTTTGTGAATTAAGTTAGTAAACTTCTAATTTCCTGCTGCCCTTGACCTTGACGAACCTCACACACAGAGTTTTCATTTGCCCTAATGATGGAAAGCTTATTTTATTCCTGTAAGATTTCAGTCTCTGACTTTATAAACCTCAGAAGCTCTCTTAGCCTATGTTTGTATGCCTGACTTTATGTCTCAGTACTCTGAAGATTCACCTCTTGTCAATGAAACTGACGTCAATGAACTAATTGGTTCTTCTTGTGCGTAGGTACCCTGACATGCCCACCGCAGCTGATGTTGTGAACGCTTTAGATCAACAGGCACTTGCGTCCATCCTGAGAACATACGGGGAGGAGAGGCATGCTAAGAAAATCGCTTCAGCGATTGTTCAGGCACGCAGTGTCTACCCCATCACCAGAACCCAGCAGCTTGCCAGCATCGTCGCAGGTACCCTCATTAATTCTGAACAGTGTCTGAGAGGGAGGAAAAAAAAGAATATATATATTCACACACACACACACACACACACACACACACACATATATATATATATATGTGTGTGTGTGTGTGTGTGTGTGTGTGTGTGAATATATATATGAATATATATATGAATATATATATGAATATATATGAATATATATATATATATTCATATATATATATATATATATATATATATATATATATATATATATTAATCCCCCAAACTACCAAAGGGTTTCATTTATACTTAAAATCATGCAGGAGTGAATCTTGCTTAAAATCTTTGGTTTTGCAAGCTTCCTCCTTAACCCCAACACCTCTCCCCCACACACAATTTTAAAATATACTGCAGTTTGCTGATTAGTTTAATAATATGTATTTTTTTTAACATGAGATCATTTATCATTTGTGCCTACCAAGGTGAAACGTGGAATGACAAGAGCAGAAAAATTTCTTGATTCATCACAGTGCTTGATAAGCATCCTGTATAAGATCTGACATTACCTTTCAGTTTCACATTTCTGCATTTTTAATATTTTGGGTGAAAGGAGAATTGCATTGCCCAACTGCTAAACTAAAATCCAGTGACTCACACATCTATTCTAAACAACGGGCTAACAAAGGGTATGTGATGTATAGGTTATTCCACTTGGTGAATGCTGAACTACAATAAATCAGCCTGAGGGGCTTATTGAAACGTTTCATCTTCTTTTGCTGTTAGCCACCATAGACCTCTTAAACCTATGTCTGGCTAGGAGGCGCTTTATTATAGCCTTTTTGTTTGAAGCCAAAGCTGTCTCACAGCTGTATTCCATGATGAAAGTTTCCCTAGACAAAAATACAACTTCTGCAGTTGTTATTGCACAGATTTCCAGTGGTGAATTATTTGTCTTTTTGGACTCCTGAAGCCATATACCTTTTTATTTACCAAATGTATTAAGATTTATTTTTAATAGTTTCTCTTAAGTTAATTAAATAGCTAAAGACATAGGAAAAAGCTTATAGCAAGCTCCTAGTTTTGGTTGTCTCTATCTTAATATTATCCTTAGTTTAAGGAATAAAAATTATGCACTTATTCAGATCAAGATTTAAAGATCATATAGCAATTGTCTTGTGACATGATTTCATAAAACTATTCTTTTTAGTTATGCTAATAAAATATAAAAAGTTGACTAAGTCTTCAATGTTTTAGGTAGCATACCTCAAGGCCCTTGAAATTTAACATTGAGCAACTTCCTTAAGGCAGCTAATTGCAAAATTCTAGTAGGTTGTGTCAACATAAAATATTTCATGATAATTTTCCCCATAAAAGAGTTTATACTAGCAGGCTAACATTAAATTCACCCTGATCTCGTCTCCCTTTCATTTTTCCCACTCCATACTCACATGTTTGCACCTTATCTTTTCCGTCAGACATTAACTAGTTCTGTCTCTCATATTGGAAAGAAGAGCAGTGAAAAGTCACTATTTATTATTATTATTCATGAAATTCCAGAATTTTCTGGTGCTGAAAATGAGGACTTGGGACTAGAGGGTATTCTAGAGGACATCCAGTTTTGAAAAAAACCTTATCTGGTAACTGAAAAAATTGAGGCACAGAGATTGCCAACAGTTTCTTCAAAGGTACAGCCTAAGTAATGGCAACATCAGTACTAATCTAGAGTTTGGAAGCTCGCAAATTTGATGCATAATTGGGAATCTGCCTTTTAAGAAAATAACGTCTGTCTTAGGTTCCTTCTCAGCAAACTTGGGGAAATAACACTGTTTAGATAGAAGTTACATGAAGATGTAGAATAGAAACAATGTAAGTCTTTTCAGGAAGATATGATATGAAAAACATACTTGGGCTATGACAAATTATATAGTAAAAGTGATAATATTCATATATGTGTATATAAAACTTCATTTTAGTAAATGCCACTAAAGGATTTGAGTATCTTCTCTCTAATGAGTATCTTTATGGCTTATATCAGTCTCTAATAAAATTTTATTGATGATGATAGAATTCTTTAATAAAGAGAAAATAGAACAATGAAATTACATTTTAAAGTTCATTTATTTAAAAAAGTGATTCGGGAGAGGCTGCTATATACCAGGGCATTATACTGAGTACTAAGAATAGATTGGAGAGAGAATCAGAGCCTCTGTGTTCATGAAGCTTATAGAGTAGTAAGTGATTGAATAACAACGTGATTTAAGAAGCCTCTAATTGGAATGGAAAACCTTCTTATTTATTGTAATCTGAAGTTATGATTGTGTGTCAAGTAGGAAAAGCTGATGTAAGTGTAGAATTATATAATGTAGATAGATATATACATATAGTCTTAATATGAGAAATTAATATATCTAAAAATTTTTGCATGTTCACCATACCTTGAAATGGTAATGTTTTCAATATTTTTGTGTTAAATACAGTATTAAAATTAACTATACTATACCTGTTTGTTTTTTAACGTTGCTATAGAAGATAACATAGTTTTATTAGATGCACTGCTCTATATGATGAGTATTGTGAGGCCACTACTGTGACTTCCTTACTCATGATTGAGCCCACAGTGCTTCTCACAGTTTCCTACCTGCGAAGGCATTTAGTAACTACTTTTTCAAGGTTAATGTATAAAATAAATAAAATGCACATAGATCAGAAAGGTGCTGCTTTTATAAAGTTTGTAGTCAGTGAAATAACATCAGTGTTAGTAAAAAGTTGATGCTTGGTCTCATGAACCATGTGTCTCCCATACCAATATGGTCCAATATCAACACTAAAATAAATGAGAAAAACACATTGCCTTCCCAGTACTTTAGTTTATTCATCTTCAAAGTGAAATAGTATCTATTTCCTCCCTCATTCTTCAGGGATGCTGTGAATAAAAGTAAAACTCTGATGAAATATTTTTATTAATTAAATATCTTAAGAAATGGGAAACTACATATAAAAACTCTCAAGCTCTTCAGAAATAAAAAAAGACTTATGCACTTAATTTTGAAAAAATAGCTGTGGTCTAGACTTTGCAGAATTAATGTATATTTGACTTGTGTAGCCTTAAAAACAGGATTGATGCTAGATATCTCTTTGAGTAAGAAGTCTGATTTATTTTCCTCAATAAGCTGTCCATATTCAATGTAAGAGCTAATCTGCATTCCATTGCTCTTTCCATTCTGTCAATACATCAAAGAAATCACCATTTAATCTTAATTGTTAAATTAAATCTAGTTTAATAAAATATATTAGTTTAACTTTTGGTCCACAATTTACTTTCTATGGAAATGTGAACAGAACTTCATCTTGAAGTGGAACTGAATAATACTTATGATGATGATCATTGTTATTTTTGTTTAGCAAACATAACTCTACCAAATATTTTTTTCTTAAAATAATATTGATATTCACTCACAGTTTCTAATCTGATGCCAAAATCAAATATACCAATCACTTTTCTTTTCATTGGGTTTAGATTCAAATTCACAAAATAGATAATTAATTCACTGATGACAGAAAAATGACAGGAGGCTTATCATATCAACTAGAAACCCGGTGCATGAAAATTCATACACAGGATGGGGATGTTCCTCAGCTTGCCCTGAACCCTCTCCAATCTGGGACCCCTCGAAGGATGTCCTACTGCTGGTTTACAGGGATCACCCTAAACCAGCAGTTGGACATCCCTCTCACAATCTGGGACTGCTGGCTCCTAACCGCTCACCTGCCTGCCTGCCTGCCTGATTGCCCCTAACCACTTTGCCTGCTGGCCTGCTAGCTCCCAGCTGCCCCCCACTGCCTGCTTGCTTGCCCCTAAAATCCCCCTCCAGCAGCCTGATTAACCCCAACGGCTCTCCTGCTGGCCTGCTTGCCCCCAGTTCCCCTCCCCACTGGCCTCCTCCCACCCAATTGCCCTCCTGCTGGCCTGCTCACTCCAAACTGCCCCCCCCACTGTCCTAATCACCTCCAACTGAACCCCACTGACGGCCTGCTCCCCCACAATTGGCCCCCCTGCTGTTCTGCTTACCCCAATGGTTCCTGCCATCCCATCCTGGCCTGATCACCCCCAGCAACCCAAGGTTCCAGCCCCTCCTGTTTTTTTTTTTCTTTTACTTTCTTTTTTTTTTTTTTTTTTTTTTTTTCAGTGCCTTCTTGAGTGGAGGCCAGGGCCAGTTGGAAGCAATTATCTAGGATTTATTTGGCTTCTATAATTGAAACTTGTAGTCTTGAACAGAGGCCAGGGCTGTCCAGGAAGCTTGGCTACCTCCATTGCCAGGGCAACCCAAGCCTCTTTCTTGCTCCAGCTCTGTGGCTGCCGCCATCTTGGTTGGGTTAATTTGCATACTTGCTCCTGATCGGTTGGTGGGCATGGGTTGGTGCAGCAGAGTGGTGGTTAATTTGCATATTTCTCTTTTATTAGTGTAGATTTTTGAGTGGGAAAAAAGATGGGGAAGCTTTTTAGATATATTTAATTATTGTTGATTACAATGTGCATACTTATTGTTCTCTTCCTGAAACTTTCATGCAACTTTTATTCTGACTCATGAATAAGGTACATGGCTAGAGCTTAATGAATTCTTATTGAACAAATAAATCAATAAAAAAGATGTGCACATTCCCAGCCAAAGTAAAGTGAGAAAAAGGGAAAGGAAATCTAAGTTGTTCGTTGTTACTGAGAATCAAGTATATTCTGCTCTTCACTTTGAAGAGGAGGGAGACCCTGAGCATCAAAGTCCCGTATAAATTAAAATTGCTTGAGGAATAAGTGAGATTCCCCAAGACAGGGACTCAAAAATCCTCACATTCTATTTATTTCATTTGCTTTGCGAACTTGAGTAAGTCACTTACGTCCTCTCAATCTAATTTACTCATTTGGAAAATAGGGACAGCCAATTCTTGCTTTGACCATTTATTGGAAAGTTCTCTGTGAATCTTAAAGGGCAAATACACTGTACACATTGCGTTCTTTCTTATCCAGAATTAA